AGAAGTAGAACTACTCCTCTTTTTTGGCCAACGAAAGAATCTTCAGAGGTCCATCTTCTGTGAACATATGAGCACTTTATTGATCAGTCTAAGCACTTACGTTGACTGTGGAGGAAATACAAGCTAGCAACCAGTGGCACCTTTTCCCTAGCTGTACACAGGAGCATGCACACAGTGTTGGTCACCATCTGACAGTTGATTTCTGTTCCTGCACATTTACTTTCCAAAGAGGCTGAATCTGTGTCAGGCTTGTGCTCTGCCGTGGCTATCATCTTCTTGGGACTCTTTCTACACCAGTAACTTTACCACCGTCCTGACATGTTTCAGAAGAATAAGCAATTAAAAAAAAAATCCTTTATATTTAATTGGCTATTCCCATCACAGGGTCTACAACCAGTGGTATATGTTGGGGGGCTTTTTTTTTTGCCCAGTACTGAGTATATCAGAAAACAGTGCTTTCACCTTGCCCTTAGACAGAATGAGATTATGTAAATATTTAGCACTGAAAAATAAACGGCAATGTCAAACTAACAAATTGCTGTACTACAGTGGCACTGGAAGAAGCCCAAGTTCCATCTATCCATCTGCAGCATCAGCAGCAGGGAAACAGATTTTCAGGGCTATCTGGACAACGACATAGGGAATCTTCCATGTCAAACATAACACAGTTTAATGTCTCAGCTGGACAATGTGATTTCAAAGCTGTTTTTTCAACAGTCATTTGTCTTTATTCTCTGTTTTGGTGCCCCAGTTTGAGAATTACCAAAAGAGCAGGGTGGAGGCAAAAGGGAATATTCCAAGTGTTAGGGACTCTTAACTGTGCTCAGAAAAAAAATGAGGCTTCAAAGCTGAAACAGGTTACTAGACCTTGAACCACAGCTGCTAGGAGAACTATTACAAGCCTGTCAAGTAGTAATTAGATGACTTTGCAAGAATACTAAAAGCACATATCTTCACTTCTGAGGAGGATCTGAAAAGGGGAAATCGGAGAAAATTTCGAGCTTACGGAGTACTCTCGACTGCACTTCAGTTACCTATTTCCTGTTTATTTCCCACTTGAAAAATCACATCCCAGAAACATAATGTAATTTTTAAAAATTTACATTTATGACCATGCCATTTAAAATGTTTTGTTGAAAAACACAAAAAACAAATGGAATGCTGTAAACAGATTTAAGTCAGCCACAAAAAACATTCTGACAGATGTTAGCATCTGTGAACATGGATCTTTCATGACAGTCCTTTCCAATGCGGGCTTTTTTCAAATACCAAAACCTCCACTGTTTTTTAAAAAAATATGTCTTACAAAATTTAAGCTGCGTTTTCCTTACCACAAGTATGACTTAATGATATATTAGTGTACCTACCTGAAATGCTAGTTGTAGCACTTGACGCTCAACTTTTACTTGCGCATGCTGCCAGATAGGTTGACACATTGAGTGCATTTGTATTAAGGTAAACAGCAAGTATTGTTAGATGAAGAAAGAGAGGAAAAAGGAAACCCAATTTTGATATGAATCAGTTTTACAGGATTACTACTTGCCAATAAAACCATTTTACACAGAATTGCATAGGCAGAGAGTACACAGAAATTTGCAACAACTTGCTAGAGCATAATGAATCCCAGCAACTGACTGTAACGTTTCTGTCGTCCTATTCAAAAATAGAAATGTTACTTTCCCCACGCTTCCAGCCACTCAAATAAATGCTTGGCTGTTCTAAATATTTTTCTCCCCAAGGATCCTGCTTGCATGGTAGCTGGCCTTTCTGTTTCTCTAAGATCTGGCAAATAGAAAACAAAATAAAGAGTAAAACCAAAAGCACTATTGATGACTGGAGGAGGGAGGCCGATTACACTATTTTGTAACGTTAACGTATTGCCTTTCTTTTGATTTTGGAATAGAATATTATTGTGGGCTCGAGTGCTAACATTCAGGTGGGAAGTAGGTCAAAACAATATGCCAAGAGAAGTGAGTGGAAAATTTCTTTACTCACCCACAAAGATTTTAAAATGTGGATTCACAGCCACTGCTAGCATTGTTTTACTTTAGAATTGCTTAGCTTTTCTTTCTTAATAGACAACACCCTTTTCTGTCCAGCTTCCTAACCCAAATCTTCTGAGCCTTCTGACTGGTTTAACTGCCTAATAGTCCTAAAAAATGTGCCTATTTTAGCTTCACCAACTACCACACAATGATCTCTGTCCTTTAAGGAATAAAACTGACCGACTCTATTTTTTGCTGAACTCACACGGCCCACTCAAAACAAACAGATACTGGCAAAAGCAAAATCCAAATTATACACTGCTTTATCCCAGGAACACAAAGTACAAGGTCGACCCAGTGCGTCAGGCACCTCAACGCCAGAAAGCTCCTCAGGTTGACAGGATTTTCTTTCGGACTTGTGTATGCATAGTCAGGGCTCTTTCAAAAAGAGTCAAAATAATCAGTTTTAGACAAAAATGTGTTGTATCATTTGTAAAAGTGTCTCTCTCATCAGAGGGGAAAAAGCAGCAAAAAGTATGCCAGGAACGCTGGGAAGGGGCAGATAGTCATGGCAAGACTTCTTTTCTTTTCTTTTTTTTTTTTCTCTCCTTGAAACTCCTTGAGCATGAAAAGTTCGTTTGTGAGAACAGTTGATTATTGAGGGAAAAGGCAAATGATCTGACAATAACATGGGGAATGTGAGAACAATTTAAGTATGACGGAAGCTTGAGAACATTTTGATCTCGGTAATGGTTTTTCATCATCCTAAGAAAACGTGCTTCAACTAAATAGACTTTAAAACATCAGGCCTATTCATTTGTCTGTCCATAAAGGCAGTATTCTATATATTTATCTTTATGAACAATAGAGGCTAGATACAGGTAGGCAGTACCACAATTTCTAATATTTTACCCATTTTAGTTTTAAATAATCCAATAAACCAATTTCCCCAAAATGAAAATTGAGGTTTCTCCCACAACTTGTGAGGCATCTTCTAGAAACTGGACGCCCTGAAAAAAACATATCACTTTCCCCGTTCCATATTTAATTTCACGCCTCTTTCATTTTGTGTTTTTATGCTTCCCTTGGCAACAATATCTAAGTTATTGTGGAGTGCTATAAAAAAAGACATGCAATGAAATAGCCTGTCTAAAACACAAATAAATTAACTATCCATCTGCCTTGATACCTAATGAGAAAATTTTGTTTACAAATCAATGAATTCTCTCACTCATCCTGCCTCTTAAAATACAAGTGTTGTTTTCATGGTAGTTTTACTTTACAAAAAGAAGTTTACCAAAAAAAGAGTTTTGCATTACAAAAGAATGATCCATCAGTTGGTTCAAAGGACTGCCAGAGGGTGTCGGACCCATTCATTCGCTATCAGGTGATAGACAGATATTTTTGAGAGATGACAGAAGTCTCATGTGGATGCTTATCAGCCGTGAAAATGACAGCTGATGAAGTAGTACTAGGTGTTTGCCACTCCTCAGTTTTTAAAAGAGGCGGTCCTTCTCTTCTTTTCAGAAGAGTAAGTGGGCTGATTTTTCTTGTCAGAGAACACAGATCCAAACGACAGTCTGATAGCTGAGAATGACAACAACCAAGCTCTTTTTGAGCTTGGAACATCTACAAAATTTGAGGTACTTCTAAAATTTCAGTTTAGCAGTTGCACATGAGATTACCCACCGACTGCATGTACTCAGAAGCAAAGGACCCTCATTTTTTATTCTTCTTCTATTTCAAGTTTGATAAAAGAAGCGCAGTCTTGAGACTTCTGTTAGCTTCACGCCATTCCTGTGAAGGGTGCGGACAGGGGCAGGCTGACTACCTGAAACTCTGTGACTGCAAGTTAAGTATATTTTTGGTTAAAAGTTGAAAAGGAAACATGGAGAGGGTATTATCATTCGAACTCAGCTACAATTGATGGAGTTAACATCAGTTTGAATTATAGACTGTCAGCTGGCCTGACTTTTGATCGATCGTTGCCCTCTGAAAGAAAATCTACACAGAGGAGCACTGTTGTCAAAACCATTAGGTCGATTCGGTGCCGATAAAGTACTTTTCCCTCACTTTCTTATAATAGGGAGAATCAGCTAAACCAACCTTTGAAGAATCCCTTCAAAGCCTACTGGAAATTATATCTGCAGAGTTCTCAGTGCAACCCATTAAACTAATCGCAATCTCCATTCAGGTCATAAACTCTGCAGGAAGAGAGAATCTGCTGATATTCTGAAAAGCTGTACTCAGAACCATGCTGACAGCTCTGCCACTGTAGCTTACTTCAGTAAGCTTACTGAGTGAAAATAAAATTGAGTGTATCTGCCTCATAAAATTTTCACACAGCATGAACTGAAAATTAGCACAAAACCTAAAGGAAAGGGATTCAATAATAGATCTTAAACCTAGAGCTGCTGAGAAAGACTCTGAAATCAGTCTTTGGCCGCAAACCTGGAGGAACGTAAGGAAAAGAAGGAAAGAGTTCAGCAGCTCCGTCCTCTCAGTACCGGTCAGAAAGGAGAACTGTGCCTCGTGCATCTTTCCTGCTTTCACTTCTCCATCTCTGTATATACAATTCTTCTGTTTCAAAAGACCTCTCTGTGAGCATAAGTTAATTGCAGAGCACATTAGAGGCTGAATTAGGTAAATGGGAAGTGGTTGATTTAACAGTTACTCAGTGACACTCAAGTAATAGTAAACATCCACAATCATCAATGGTTAAATTTTAAATTAACTTCCCACTAATTCATTTTCAACCTTCTGTCATTTGTTGCTACAACACATGAACTGCAGGCAAAAAGACAAATCCTTCCCTCCCCTGGGCAGTATTAACTGTATTCCACAATAAACTGATTTCAAAAAATGCACCGTCCCCATTGAGAACCTGTACCTTGTGGAGTGTGCTTCTGCCCTGCTTAAGGGGGACTAAGAATGGCGGTTCCAAATTCCCTCCTCCTTGGGCTTCTCGTAAGTTACAGCCTCACCAGCAAAATTCCCATGCATCTTTTTACTCACCTAACGTTTGGTTGGTCTGAATTTATGATGGATGCTGCACGAGGAGGCTTGTTTTCTTGAACCTGGCATCTGAAACCTTCTCTTGCAGGCAAACAGTACACCCTTTGGATAACCACTCGTACCTGCACTTCTCTCCATCCCACTGCTCCTTGGCTTTCCACCATTTCAAGCAGAGAATCATTAACAGTACTAAGGGCTAAGGGTTGCTGTTTGGAACCACGGTTGTTACCGATTTGTGTAGTCTCTGGAGTACATGCAACCTGGTGAAGGAAAACCCATTAATAGAAACTTTTCACGGGACACTGAAATCATGCAGTGCTAAAGAGTAAAATTTCAACATGCAAAATGACCACAAAAAGTACAAGATTAGTTTCAAAATACTTACTGCATATAAACTAACTCACTGACTAACGGTCAGCATTTATGGTGGATTTCTCATAAAAGCTTACAAGAGAGTTCAGCACACAGCGCTCTCCTGTGTGAAACTAGTGCCCTGGACTGAACTAACTCCATCCATGAGAAATAGGGGTTACACTAGGAGGAAAACAGAACTGGTATTAGTATTTATCATTCTTGTCCTTGAACTGAGTTTCCTTTTTACCTCTAATATGGCCTGATTCTTCCTCTCCTAGAAGAGCTTTAATACATCTTGAATCCTCCAGCTTTCAGATTAAGGTCAAAGTAAAGAAGTATCTAGTTTCATAGGCTAGTAATTTAGCCTTCCGATTTAAAAGTTTCAATGCAAAAGAAATAGATGATTAATAAAAAGTAGAAAATCTTAATCTCTTTCTATTCTTTTCCTACTTCCAAAATAAATGTTATGAATAAAATGATGATACGTATTGCCTTAGTTTAAACAAGTAACTTCATTAATTTTCATTTTAAAAGAAATCGCTCTCTTCTAGTAAAATTGGTATCACATAGTCTATATATAGGCTCCTTCCCAGCACAGGCCAAATTTCTATTTCCACAATAAAACCTGTTTTTTAAAAAGGTGGGTGCCGAGAAAAGTTTTTGGAGAAATAAAGACCTTTGTCATAAATGCTCTGAACCAACAGAGAAAGATACTTACAGTATTTAAAAGAAAATGCTGGTGCTACGCTACCTCTTGTCCACAAAGTTGTTACAATGAACTTGTCTACTGAGTTTCAAATGAAGTGTTTTTGTTTGGTAGGAAATATGAGTGGAACAAGTAAATTACACTGGTTTTGGCATATCAAAGTAGAAACTGTTTAAAAGGTAGAGTTGTTGCAGAAATAAGATTAGGATTTGATTTATTTAACTTTTTCATTCCTAGGCCTACAGGGAGAATTACCTACAAGGCAAACAGAAAATGTCGAAACTCAATATTGTTTATCAAACTCTTAAGGCCAAACTTCTCAAATATTAAGAATGATTTTGGGTGGCCAACATAAAACCTTTACAAGACTTCTACTTTCAGAAAGTGCTGGCACAGATTATCAGAAAAACAGATCCCTTAAAATACCTCAGCTTACATAACCACAGTTAAAGACATGCACATTCAATAGTAATTTTAATATAAACAAAGTCGCAATAGGGAAAAAAGGAAACACAGAGGGGCTTGGGGTGGGGGAAAGTTGTTACCGGCTGATACTTTAAAGAAAGGATAGGATGGATAACATATAACTTGAGTCAGTTAATAGAAAAGGGATTCTGTTTCAAATAAAACTTGGCCATTCAGCTGCAAAGAATAAGAGAAAAATCAATGAAAAACCAAGCTAGAATTACTATTTAGCACAGTAGTAAGACTTCAGCAAAATAACTTCACAGCAGTTCAGCGTCTGGATGAGCCAAAAAGCCTCTGCTAAGAAAATATTATTTAAATAAACATCACATTATTCAGCCTTGGCTAAATGAAAGGGAAACCGAACAGGTCAGTAATTTAGAACTTTTATTATGATTTCCAAACATCTGCTCACCAACTTCTTACAAAGTGCTCAACTGCAAACAAAATGAACCTTACCTGACTATCTGAAGATTCCTGGGGTAGGTCATCTTCAAGGTCATTTAATCTAAATGTCTGTGCCAAAGATAAAATATTCTTTCTAATAAGCATCTTTGCTGGACCATGTGTCTTCTCTCTTGTCTCTAAGTGTTCACCACGTAGCACCTTCTGACTGAAGTACGTATTCATGATAACAGGAACATTTGCACTTCGGAGAAGTAGTTTTTGCCTGCAAAAACAAAATTTAATTGGCATCAAATGCATTACAAGTTATACTACAGTAAAACACTTTTTAAAAATATGTCTTGCGCTGCATTTCTCTCCCCTTTGTTCTATAGTCCCTGTTAAAACACCCAAAGGTGAGTTATCCAAATTGCATATAAACTGTCTCATAGATCTAGCCAGCTCAGATCAGTCTCATCAGCTCCGGTATAGCCCTGTGTGTATAGCCCTTGTGTATAGCACAAGGGACAATTTAGGTCTGGAAGCAGGCTGAGTAGGCAAGGCCATGAACCTCACATAGCTTCATGCGAAGCCTGCTTGGTGCCCCAGCATCATCATTCCACATAGCCCTAGGTCCCTGGATCGCTGTTACAGTAGGAGCCACAAAAGATTTTTAATTCTGCTTCCACGTTGGCTTTGCTGGAGCCAGTCTGGCCTTTCAGAGTGGGCACCCCTCTCTGCTCAATGCTTCCCACGAACCAGAACATGCCAGCTTGCTCCTTAGCGCAGCCCATGGGGGGCTGATCCTTCCTCTCTTTCTCCCTTCTTTTTTTAAAAGCACAATCCTATGCTTTTCCTAAGATATACTGCATATTATTTTGCCTCAAAATCTGTTTCCTGTATGTTTGTTGCTGTTACAAACTTGCTCTCCAAGATGCAGTTTTGGGTTCTGGTGCCAATGTAAATTCCCACATAGCTTCACATGCAGCAATTTCTTGCCTAGCTGACTAAGGTAATGGTTGGAGAATCACTAAACACACAATAAATTAATGTTAAAACATCTCCGGATGTTGATGGTTTTTTCACATTAGTATCACAATCATATATTTAGAAATACACTTTTTATACTCACAGGATACAAATCTAATGAAGTCAGTTAAACAAAACAATCTGTAATCTCATTTTCTAGAAACAATCAAAAGAGAAATAAAATCCACTTAGTGTGTTTATTGCAGCGTATGTTTTTCTACTAAGATTTGTATCGCTTGGGAGTAAACCAAGGTCTCCTGCCTTGGCAGCAAAACTGAGCTGACCTGAGTTCAGAAGTAACCTCAGGACTTGAGTTTCCAGACTACTAAACAGTCACATTATGGAGATGAAGCAAGTTTTCTATGGCATTATTAGTTAAAATGCACCCACATAAAGTAAAAAAAAAAAAAAAGTTAAAAATTATTTATTTCTGATCTTGACCAGACAAACATTGCAATATGGGATTGCAACAAACTGTTTCACTCTCTACAGAGTGGATAACTAAATGGAATTTAATGCATACGTATTTTCAACACAATAAAAACAGTTACAACAAACTATTAAAAATAAACCCCAGGTATATTTTAATTAGAAAATAACATTATAAAAATGGGAAATAGTTCTCTGCCTTTTGGAAAAAAATATACATTTTAAAATAACCTTGCAACTTAAAACTATGAATCATAGATACGTTATAAAAAAGATGCATTGCATTCTATTTGTAAAAATTCTTAGAAATTGTGATTTGAAAAATAGTAATTCATAGAAAAGTTACAGCATAAAACTAAGTAGTGAACTTCCTCACAGTGCCTTACTGTCACTTGTGAACTCTTGAGGTATAAGTGAGTGGCTCTTCTCTTATGGACACTCAGTCCCTTGACCCCAGGTGAATTTGGTAACAGAGTACCAATTAAGAAAAGTGTGATGGAAGCTACCAAATAGTTATTGGCTGATAATTTTCTGCATTACAGGATTAAATTGAGGAATTAGCTTTTTTTTTTTCTTCACTTTTTACATGAAATCTCCCAGATTTCATGTGCTATCCATCTCTTAGATATTAAACACACAAGCGGCTACTGAGCCATATATCTCTAACCAGGATGTTTTCAAATCTACTAAATACATAATTCATTAAAAATGAACTTGTGCTAGAGTAATCTTATTTTTATGTTAGCAAACCAAGACACCTCTGATCTTACAAGATTTTCATGTCTAAACTGTCATTACCCCTTCTCTATGAAGAATACAAACGTATATACAGCTTGCTTCGGCCCTCAGAACACTTTGGGCTGTCTTTGTATACAGACATGCAATGAAAATTTTAGCACCTACTTTCTTGAGACTTCTGCATTCAAACCCAAAGTAAACAGGAAATGTCTCTGAACATGAGTCTGCTACGTCACCAATGTCAGAAGAATTCTTGCTTGATCAAAATCATCGCATTCTCTAAAAACACTGACGTTAATAGCAAATCATTTTCCGGAACTCTGAGGTTTATGGTTTTATTTTTATTTTCCTGGTGCAGATAGGCGATCAGCTGTTTTTTTTTTTTTTTTTTTTTTAAAGCCAGGTAGGTTTTACTGGTACCCAAATTATGTGTACCATGGTTTTGCTATGCCTATGCATTCTATGCCTCGATTACTTTTATAACCACCAAGAGCTTTCTCTGCTCAGTTTTACCTGGGTAATAATGTAAATTAATGGCTAGTCAGCATTTCCAAAAAGAAAAAAAGAAGAAACATAAACACGCTTTCAGGAGCAGTCCTCCATTTCTTACTTGCAATATCAGTTCCCGAAGAACACTTTCCCTAATGGATCACTTCTTTTAGACCTGCCTACCTGTCCACAGACTTAGCAATCACTCTTCAACTAAGTCAGTGGAATAATCTGAGTTGTTTACTTATTTTTTTCCTATCTTTCAATGGACAGCTTTCTCCCAATAGGAAATAAAATTAACCAGCAATAAATAGAAACAGTAATCACAAAAAATGAAAGAAAGAAGAAGAAAGTTTATGATAAGCTCCTTTATTTTTATATAGGTGGATGGCTAAATGGAAATATTATGTATACGTTCTCCCCAAAGAATGACAACTGAAGAGAGAAAGCCAGCTAAATGCATTCCAAGTCTTGGAAACAAAGCAAAACACAGCAAAACAAAAACAAAATATTTCCCAGAGAACACGTTCAACACAAACTGCAATAAGCCACAGGAAACCGTAAATAAGGCAAACATGCTTTTAAAAAGATTAAAATATACACTAAATTTAAGTGCAGTGAAATGATCAAAGGAAAATTACTTTTCTCTAAAATTTTTCACTGTAAAATACATTTTGTCAAAAATAATACAAGATAAAAGTTAATGGGACAAACATCCCACAAGAAATAGGTAGGAACACCTGGTGAAGTACCTCTCCACAAACGAAGAAAGCTCGTTCTCCGAGATACTGTTCTGAAGTTTTTCTTGAGCATGTAACTAATGAGACCTTAGTCACTGAAGACAGGCATAAGCCATTTTCAGCCCTGGGGTATCAGAACATATGAATTAATTAACGAAAACTCCCTCTTTTTCCAGAGATTCTTCCTAATATTGCTCAGCTCAAGCTAACTCTGTAAGACGGGAGTTTTGATCATCATCATCACAGAAAATTCTAGGCTGCCATTGCATAATGTTCATAACCGCTTTACAACCAAAGCGACTGGGGCATGAAAAAACACATGCATCTTAATTCTTTTTGTCCGCCTGGAAGATATAGAGTTGGGCAAAGCAAGCTGGAACAGTTTTAAAAAAAATCAGTTCTACCAACATCCATTGCTGTCCTGAGCTGCAGGTATTGCCCCTGTACCTGAGACACCAGAGCTGACCACATGAGCTTTCCCAATCTGTCCTGATTGTAGCTTCTCTACAACCAGGAGTAAGCCTACTTACTTTTTCAATTTAACAGTGCAGGAATCAAGTGCGTACAGAGCAAGCAAATATGGCTACCTGATACATTAAATGGGGGGGAAGAGACCCCCTAGGGTCTTTCTGTGCCGCTACGTATTCTTTTCTCGTTGCGTTCTGTTCATGGAATGTGGCCTCTAATACAATATTTTTCCCACAGGGAAATAAAACAACTGTAAAGAGATTTAAAGATGGCCTGGAGAGTTTTCTAGTACACTCTGTAGGATAAACTTAACAAAATGTTAAATAGGTATTGCCAAGACTTCCATGATCTCTCTTAAATTCTCTTCTTTTCCAACTCCTTCACTGTATTTAAATGCTTACTTTCAAAGAATCAGAAGGAGACATCATGTTATTAATCAACTTATGTAGGAACAATGGAAAGAAAATAAACTTCACGTAGTCTTAAAAGAGTATGTCTCTCATTTTCTTCTTGCTCAGCAAAGTATATTTAAATTTTGGATTAGCAATCCACTTCCTCGCTAACTGCCTTTAGAGGAAAGGTCAGTTGTAATGACCTGAAGTGGAGACAGTGAACTTTTTACACTGCAGGACGTTTTTTTCCTCGTATGTAACTTCATAGACGGTCAACAATTGCTGTAACTGGTCACATGATGCAGTAACATGAGGCAATAATGTTATTTTTTCTTTTCCAGCAGCAGCTTCCCTCTGCTAGGATGTGGCATGTTTTTTCTCTTCCTCCCCTCCGTGATGAAAGGGCCACCTAGCAGAGTGGAAGCCGGGGAGGTGCTTGCCTACTTCTCTGCAAATCGTGGTCTGTCAGGGCTTGAGCTGTGAAACGCTACAGAAACTTATAGCAAGGAACAGGCTAAAGTAGCTGAAGTTTCAACTTGAGGCAGGGTCTTAATCCCGTTGTCAAACAGTCAGGAGGTTTACACTGCGGTTTGCCTCGTGCAGCCCGCTGCGCTCGCTTTCTGTCCATGCTCCCCGGCAGCGAGAAGTGTCGAATCTGTGGCAGCAGTTAACTAACAAACCACAAACTTCCGCCGAGTTGTGCTGACATCAAACAACGGGGCTGGTTCATGAACTCAAGATGACTTTGGAGCACTTTAAATTTGAGAACATATTTTTTGTTTGCTTACTTTGAGCATGTTATTTGGGTTCTTTTCTTTCTTTTACAAAGTACTATTTTTTTTTTTTTGAAAAGGGCACTGTATTAATTGAACACTTGGAACATTTCAAATTCCAGTGCATGTTGTAGGTTGTTATGAAACAGATTCATTTCAAGTCTCAAAACATTGCTTCCTGGGTAAAGCTTTAATATCATCAAATAGAACAGCAGTTGTACATGCAGG